TAGTCTACTAGAGAAATTCCAAGTACAAAAGTAATTTTGCTTTTATTTTCTATTTTTTAATTTAGTTTCCTTGCATTAGAAGAGCATCATGAACATTGAAGCATATTTTCAAAGAATTGGCTATACAGATTCTAGGAAGAAAGTGGATTTGGAAACATTAACTGATATCCTCCAACACCAGATCCAAACTATTCCTTTTGAAAACCTGAACATCCATTGTGGAGAACCTATGGTGTTGGACCTAGAGACCATTTTTGATCAACTTGTGAGGAAGAGGCGAGGTGGCTGGTGTCTCCAGGTTAATCAGCTCCTGCACTGGGCTCTGACAACAATGGGATTTGAGACCACAATGTTGGAAAGTTATGTTTATGACCCTCCAACTGACAAATATAGCAAAAGACCTCTTCACCTCATGTTACAAGTGACTATCAGTGGCAAGAACTACATCGTGGATGCTGGGTTTGGACGCTCCTATCAGATGTGGCAGCCTCTGGAGCTAATTTCTGGGAAGGATCAGCCTCAGATACCTGGCATCTTCCGTTTGAGAGAGGAGGGAGGAATCTGGTACCTAGACCAAATCAGAAGAGAACAGTATATCCTAAACCAAGAATTTCTTAATTCTGATCTTCTGGAAAAGAATAAATATCGAAAACTATACTCTTTTACACTTGAGCCTAAAACAATTGAAGATTTTGAGTCTGTGAATATTTATCATCAGACATCTCTGGTATCTTTGTTAACAAACAAATCTTTTTGTTCCTTGCAGACAACAGATGGGGTTCACTGTTTAATGGGCTTCACTCTCACTTCTCGAAGATTCAATTATAAGGACAACATAGATCTGTTAGAGTTTAAGATCCTAAGTGAGAATGAAGTAGAAGAAGTGCTGAAGAATCTATTTAAAGTGTCCCTGGAAAAAAAACTTGTGCCCAAATATAGTGACCATTCTTTTACTATTTAGATGAAAGGAAAGGAAATCGTCATCCATATTAGGTCAGTTATAGAATGATTTTTTTTTCGTTTTAAAGTGTCAAACATATATAAAAGTGGAACAAAACAATAAATTTTTCATG